CTCTAAAATTGTAAGGAAATGGAATCTTGGGAATAGTCAACTATTAAATGGGTACGGGGGGGTATTTAGAGATCAGGGATATGACTATGAAAGATAGGGGGTATTCTAATTCTTAAAAGGGATTGATATATTGGCATTCTTCAAGTTCTTTCAATACATTGTACTTCATTCACGAACAAAAATAATTCCACCTCTACAGTATTAATTTTTCATATACAGTAGTTTTATAAACAGAAGACATGATTTTGATATCAACACCATATATATCAACACCAGCTCTGTTTAGGAATGTTGTGTATTTCTGTAGCAGGTGTTCAGTAAATCTACACTGTGTACTGGGTTGACATCGTACATGTATATTACATCATGCATTACATATAGTGTTCACTGATTGTAGTGGTTATAACTAAGTTGCATCATCTTCCCAGAACTTTTCTGTGTATGAATAAAAAAAATTAATGATTTACATTGCAGTTGACACCTTATACTTCACAACATGTAAATGTTAAAAGATGAAAAAAATGTGAAAATGTTCCTGACTAGTGTACTGTAATCAAATCTAAATATAATGTCAGCCTTACCAGTGATATGGGGGACACATAAATAAAATATTTCCATTTCTAAATTTTTTCTCTATGATAACCCTTTGAAAGTTAGCGGAGTTGATTTCCTGATAATTCTGCCGGAATATAAATTAGGCAGGTCGATAGGTAAGGAGCTAAGGAGGCCTAGTATGCATGCAAATCTTGTGCGCATCTGTCTCTGAGTCTGACGCTAAGGAGGCCAAATATGCATGAAAATTCGTGTGGCTGCCGTTGTGTTTGACGTCAGTGGGCTCGGACTATTGAAATTGGGATGGGAATCCTCGTGTAATTTAAATCTATGTCTGTATTTTTAAAGTTTAAATCTACAATTTTATTTCACAATGAAATGGAAATATAAGGAATCACTGTCTAGTTAGTGTAGTATGCCAAACATCAAAAATAGTTGGAAACATGATGCCCTTATGCAGATTATCCCAAAAAAAAAAAATGTTTCCCATTATTGTAATCAAATCTATATAATGTCAGCCTTACTAGACAGTGATTCCTTAAATATATGATCATGTTGAGATGCTAAAAACATATATCTTAAAATTTTGTGCATATTCCTATTTTCTTTTTAAAAGCTTTGCCTGTGGAGGATTTCAAATGCAGGAAACATCCAAGCTGTCCATTATCCCAGTTCTGTATCCCGTGTGAGGTCACCTTGTGTCAGATGTGCATCAGGACCTCTCATAAAAAACATGACGTTAGAGATGTTGAGAAATTATTCAGAGAAATTCATACAGAGTGGACACCCCTTAGCTAATCGGTCATAAGAGTTTACCTTTCCATTAGATCACTTGAGTCAGGTGAACTTAATATATTTCTTTTTTTGTGTATGTCCAGCGTGCCTCTTGTGCTAGCATTTGAAAATTATTTCCTTCTCTGAAATTCTAACCAATTATGGGGCACCCTTGCTGGAAAATAGTAGAGCATGTACTGTAGAGTTGTTCCCTGATAGTAAAAATATGGAAACATTCTAAAGAAGTGTCAATGCAAGTTTATTTAAGCCCTCCCACTTCGGGGGATAGATCTGGATCACTTGTATCTTTTGACTTTTGATGCGTTATTATTTTCTTCTGCTTTTTGGGAGTTGAACTATGTTCAATCTCCCATGGTCATCACGTATTTAACATGCGCAGTAATTTGTGTTGATTATATAGAGCCGAAAGCGAGGCTACTGTGTCGCCCGATTTACTCCGATGATATTCAACAGAAAACATACATAAACATCCGCCACAAATAGTTCATGTCATTTTCTCCTGAATTTATCTAATTTTCATAATTTGAAATGTAAGTAAATGTAATGATAAAGTAATCTTATTTTGAATATTAGATTTCGTTAAAAGTAAAACTAAATTATAAAGAAACTCAAATTTTTTCGTAATGGAAATCATTTTCAGTGTAGCGTCATACACTGAAAGAGATACGAACGACAACTCTACATACTGACGGCAAGCGGTGAATCTGGTCTTCTCGACGCCCGGCGGTCCCGGATGTTTAGCAATATCTTTTTTACCGGTGCAGAGAATTTATTCAAACTTTTCATGAACATTTCCTTGGTTTAAATTAATTCATTAATGCATTAAAACTTTAGGAAATATGCGTATTTATTAGTAAATCAGCAGTATCACCTTCCAAAAGCGTTACATCTAGTACTCTGTTATAAATGTTACTATAGTAAAACCAAAAACGGACATCCATGCATATGTTTTCGTAAAATCGCGATTAAAAGCAACAAAATGAAGTATATTTTTTTTAATAAAAGGAAAACCTCATTTACATATACCAGATAATTTGTACGCACACAAACTCTCACATATACTACTGACGTTGCGCACGGTGTTGGTGTCAGTTTCGGTAACGTCAAAATGACGTTATTTTACGTGAATTTCTAGAAAATTAATTTGACGTTGCTTTTTTCGATAACATTTTTTATGAAGAAAAAATAAAAACCCAGTTATACCGCCAATTATATAGTACAATTCATTGAAAACACATGTAATTAAACTCTCATAAGTAGTTCAATGTTAAGATATAATACAACAAAAAGTTATTCTATTATTTTTTCAATATTTGTTGAATGGGTCTCGAGTAACGGTAAAATAGTTTTCATGATTTTAAAAACTTGGCTTTTATCTAAATATTTATGAGTTCATCCTAATTGATCCCGGGATTAATTCTCTTCTGGTCGGGTATCATCATGGACTGTCTTACAAAGTATCAACTGTATTTTACTTAGTACGTTTCTTCTCATATAGTCTATATAAAAAATGATTAAAATGTGTCTGTTTCAATCTGCGAGAAAAGGGCTCTTAGTTTAAGAAAAATCCAAAGGGAAAAATATATATATATATACACGTATTATACGTGGCCGTACTTTGATGCAGATATTTTAGTACTAAACTCTCTCTGTCCTCTTGCATGCATGTTCAAATTTGAAATCATAATTATTATCCTAACATAAATTTACGTTTGCGTATTTTTTTTCCCTTGTGTCTTAATTCGGACTCAGAATGGTACAACGATATATAGTTATATACTATACAGTGTACTACAGTATACAGTGCGCATGTTTTACTTTTTTATATATAAATACAATTTCTTTCAAAATTTAAAGTTCTTCTTAAAAATAATCATTATAGGTACATTTTCTTGTATCCATATCAGGCTCATCAGCAATAAGAAATAAAAAAATCTTTTGACGCTTTATATAACTTTTTATGCATTGAACGTATTAAGCGTAATAACGTCAAAACGCCAAATTTTTACGCGTGTGACATTTATGTTGACATTTATATTTTGTTAGGATTTTGTCACCATTCCATCGAAAATTATTTTGGAATATACTAATAACTTTTTGAAAAGATGCACATTTCATAAATATTTTCTAATTTTCAATATTTATATTTTTAATGACTATATATATGATTTGTTTTACCATATTTATACGATTAAAATTAGATTTATTACTTTAGGACAAAGTGTGACATTTATGTTGACTTTGTAAAAAGCATGTAAAACAAACAATGCTTAATAGAATCAATTCAGTTTTATATCTAAATAAAGTTTTGATTTTGCACATTTTGTATTAAATGTCGTTTGTTGCCAAATTAGAAAAATGAATTCTTAAAATGAAGGTGATTGCGGGAGTTTAGCATTTAAATGTGACGTTTTGCCGTCAAATTCAGTTGTGACATATAGCTGCATGTAGTACATATATGTGAAACAGCAATTATTATTAAAATTTAAGACACTGCAAGTTAAATTTCTGTCTCAAGATCTTTTCCTTAATAACATGGCAATATTTTGTAGAATTTAAAATGATTTTCAACATTAACTTTCCACCCAGCATTACAAAATTTACCATTTTTCGAATCTTAAAAACTATGTGACATTGAAACTCCAAACTTTGTGACACGCCGTCTTATTCAACATCCCCATAATAAATCGGCTGAATACCAGAGATCCAACATACATATCAACCCAAAATATCAGTCTTTTATAAAATATAGTTCTCAACACACAAAAAGGATTATTGAAATGTAATTTAAAAATAGATTTAGCTCATGTAATGATTATTCTAAGTAACCGAAGACTTTTTATGTATATCCCATATTTCGTGAATTAACGCTTGTCTACACCTCTGTCTTGGATTTTGAGCGACGCGTTCAAAGCATACGGATTGGATGATATTACAATTTTATAATTTACATTATCTACCTCGTATTTTGATTTTTTCTGCCAAATTTTATGTTTGTATTGTTTGTTTTAAGGAAGTTATCAACATTTTATAATTACATGTGCGACGCCCCTGTTACCGATCTACATGCGTTTTTCACGTAATTGACGGAATAGTCAAATCAATATCTTTGACAAATGGAATTTGTTTACTAATATTTTTGTTAAAATGTATTAAGTATACAATTACCGACCGAATGATATATAGATTTCATACTGTGAATTGTTTTAAAATTATGAAAATAGCGCAAATGCCGCCGCAATAGTAATTTTTACCTTTTTGACACCAACACCGTGCGCGACGTCTACTGTTTTTATGTTTGGTCATTAAATATTTGTTTTTAACTTGGTATTGCTTTTTTCTTCACAATATTAAAAAAGATTAAGTTCTGACGTACTCCATGTATAATGTTCGTGTAACTGAAATACATCAATTTTATATTCACAGAGAAGTTTTATAAAACAAGCCTGTTAGCTCTTAAAAGGATGCTGTGTTAAAATCCACATTATATCAATATTGATATTATTCCTGCGAAACTGAAATTTTCATAACACATGGGTATACGTGCCAAGGAAAAATATATAACAAATTTGAAGACTGCATGTGAGCAGTGAATTCTATAAATGATCAACCGTCTCTAATATGAATATGTTTTGCAATTGGAAACAGAAATAATGTGTAGGATGAAAAAGTAATAGAAGGTGCACAACGGCAATATGTAATAAAGATTCTATGAAAATTTCGTTCAGTGGTGTAAGAGGAGTTGCGGATAAGAGATGGGTATACCTAAAGCGTAACAAACAGATGGACGGAATTCCCGATTAATAAATAATACCCTCCCGCTTTTCAAGCAGGGGGTATAAAAAAGGACTAATGTAGGCAGGCAAGCATTATGGCCCATCCATTTTTTTTTTTTTTTTTTTTTTTTTTTGCTATTCAATGTCTCTGAATGTCTTTCTCAAGATTGTTGCAACACAAAAAATTTGAAACAGTTGTCTGTATTTGAAATAATAATATCGTTTACTCACTTAACCTCCCGATCAAAGATTTTGTTATACACCATGTTCAACTCCCATGAGTGCGTTCAGTACTTTGATTTTCTCTAGCCAAAACTACAGTGAGTGTTGTGGTACATGGACTTTCTGTTTATTTGTAGATGGAGACGCAGTTTTGATGTGCCTTCTGCTTTGCCCTTCATACAAATTAAGTCTGAAAGACGAACAGTGGATAGAGAAGTATAATGCTCTAGCTGAAGTTTTCAAATTCAAGAAGATTAAGAAGCCGTCTAATCTTAGCAGCTTAAAGAAGTACAAACCAATACTGAGACATGATAGTGTGAATGTTGAGTTTTCTTGTGAATTCTTTAAACACACCAGTTTTCTAAGATTCGCCAAAAATCCAGGTTTTGTAGATATATTTCTGACATTGGCAGAAAAAAACAACATTGCTAAGTTCTGCAGATCATGGGCATATACAAAGAAAGAGGGGGAAGTCTTTTGCTGGCTATCACCACAACAAACAAAACAATTGATAGAAAAACTTGGAGAGGATATTTTCATCCATCCAACATGGCAGGATACAACAATACACGAGGATGTATTTAGAAATTGTATGTCCTTCTTTTATAGCTTTCTCAAAATATATACTGTGTAAAATGAAGGATATGGAGATAACGAACAGTATTCAATATCAAAGACCATAAAAACACTGTAAATATACATAGATCAGCCCACTCAAAATTTGGAACCATCATGACCCTCATTTAATTATCAGTATAATCATTAATTGGCATAATTTGATCTGTATTTTGATATTCGAATCCAAGATTCCATTTAAAGAATGTTTTAAGCTTTAGGCATTGGTGTATAAATTACATAGACTAAATACAAATGCATATTTCAGGTTTATTGATAAACAATTATTGCCAATTTTTCCAAAAAACTTTTGATAATGAAGAAAATGTGCTTTCATATTTAATCTTGTGTATTGCCATCAAAAATCAAAAAGATTTTTCAAAGCTTGTTACTGTTTTTAACTCATGACGACCTTGACCTTTATGTTTGACCCACATTTCACAATTATTAACTTTGCTTATAAAAAGAATACTTATTATAAGAAAAAGCAAGTGTGCATAAACTGCACCTGTTTGCAGTACAAACTAGTAAAACAGCGATACAATGACAGATGTTTTATTTTATTATAGTTGGTGTACCAATGCAGATTTTGATGCGAGGAGAAGAATCAGTGAAAAATTTCATTGAAAATCTTAAGAAAGGGGAGACCACCATGTACCATGCCTCTGGGATGATCATTGGGTGTGCAGGTAGTGGAAAGTCAACCCTGCTAGAAAGACTGAAGGGCATCAACCTGAAAGAAATCCTAGAAAGTTCAAAGTCAACCCGCGGAATTGATGTCCAGGCTGACATATTTGATGTAACTGGAAAAACAATCAAGGGTATGACTTTTTTAGCTCACCTGGGCCAAAGGTTCAAATGACCTTTTTTCGTCCGCGTTGTCGTCTTTGTAAACTTTTCACATTTTCAACTTCTTCTCAAGAACCGCTGGGCCAATTTCAACCAAACTTGCAACAAAGTATCCCTGAGTGAAGGGGATTCAAGTTTGTTCCAATGAAGGGCCACGCCCTTATTCAAGGGGAGGTCATTGGGAATAAATGAAAATTTAGTGGCATATTTTAAAAATCTTCTTCTCAAGAACCACTGTGGCAGGAAAGATGAAAGTTATGAGGAAACATTCTCAGGTAGTGTAGATTCAAGTTTGTTCAAATCATGACCCCCGGGGGTAGGGCGGGACCAAAATGGCCGACCAAAGTTTTACATAGAAATATATAATAAAATTCTTTAAAAATCTTCTACTCAAGAATGACCAAGCCATAATTCATCATATTTATATGGAAGCATGCTCAGGGAGTGTAGATTCAAATTTGTTAAAATCATGACCCCTCGGTGTAGGGCGGGGCCAAAATGGCCGACCAAAGTTTTACATAGAAATATATAGGAAAATTTTTTGAAAATCTTCTTCTCAAGAATGACAAAGCCATAATTCATCATAATTATATGGAAGCATGCTCAGGTAGTGTAGATTCAAGATTTTTCAAATCATGATCCCCAGGGATAGGGCGGGGCCAAAATGGCCAACCAAAGTTTTTAAAGATATATATAGGAAAATTCTTTAAAAATTATTTTCTAAAAAATAGCAAATCCATGATTGGCATGGGACTACTTTTGGATGTAAACATTACAATAAAAAGCCATTTTCTACTTTTTCCTACCCTTAGTGCTCAGGTGAGCGATGAGGCCCATGGGCCTCTTGTTAACTCTACTGATCAGAGACCAGAAGAGCTTATGCGATAGTTATGCGTCCGGCGTCTATCTATCAGGGTTCGACACTAACATTTTTAGGCTTTGGTCCAGCCGGACTAGTGCTTCTTTACTTTTACTAGTCCGCGGGCAATTTTATTAGTCCGT